TGGATGGATGGATGGATGGATGGATGGATGGATGGATGGATGGATGGATATTTTCAACCAATCAGGTTCTAATTGATTCATTAAAAATGTGTAAATAAGTCATTTGGACCATCAGAACCAAATGAGTAAATATATAAACAAACATTTTAAATATAAAGATAACCCTCTGACCCTATATGAAAAAAAAACTACCTGTACAATGACAAAGTCAAAGTCTAGTTATGGGTCCTACTAATCCAATATATCTTGAAAAACAGTAAAAATGTACAGCAAATAAAAAATGTACAGCAAATGAAATGTTTGTTCACTGTCAATCTTAAATCTTGACAGCACTAAATAAGTGACCACTATCTTAAATATGGAAGCACTACTTTCACAAAAAGGTGAAGTGGCAACCATGAACAAATAACAACTTGACTTCAGAGTTTTGCATGTGCTGCAAAAACACACATGTACACAATTTTAATTCATATAGAAAAGATCAATCAATATTTTATATCTAAATATGACAATCAACCTATTAAAGTCTGCAATTATGAAAAAGATTATTTTATGCTGATTAAAATAGTGGATGATGGATGGATGGATGGATTAAAATTGTTTACAAAATAGAATTACTGTGTATTTTTCACAAATCATTCTGATGAAATGTCATATTAAAACTGAAAACGTGAAACAATAATAAAAATTTATATTTCGTTTTAACACTGAATCCCTTAACTATGATGTAAATATGGCTAGTTACGTTTTACTTCCTTAACATCTTATGAAGATACAATATACAGAGCAACATCTGGGACACAGGTCTGATGTTACTTTGGTTAAATAACACATTTGAAATTATTCTATGTTTATAGTACAAATCTTTATAAAGCTACATAAGTACAAAACCTGATTTTAGCAAAGATAGTTTATATATATATATATATATAGAGAGAGAGAGAGAATATATATATGTGTTTTGATTTACTTAAACCTTTGTTTAACAGATAAAAAGAAATGTGAATTACTTTGAATATTTTCACATGGGACACAGGAAAAAGCCATGGGCTGGAATCAAAACCAGGCCACCTGCACGGAGGAGAGACTCTATACATGGGCCACCTGCTCAATCCAGTGCGCCAAATGGCAGCCTTTGCACCAAAACTGTGATCCAATCCCCTGTTCTGAGCCTGCTCAAGGCAACTGTAGACAGATAACGCATTTTTAACAAGAAGAAACCTCTGGCAGAACCAGATTTAAAGAGGGCGGCCATCTGCCTCAACTGGCTAGGGACTGGGTACAGGACAGAGAGAGCAACAAGCACCACAATACCAGACCAGAGGTACCAGCCGAGAGTTCAAGCTCTGAAGAACAGGTTTGAATTACAGAAGCTACATTACAAAATTTGGAGATGAGCTTCCTCTTTTGATGAAGTTCTGCTGAAATGATGTGATTCTTCTGTGTATTAATCACCTATTTGTTTTTATCATCTGTTTAAGGATAATTGAGATCAGACTGATTCAGAGCTGGACCGAACCAGTCAGCTGAACGTGGTTTGAGATAAGTTCAGATGAGAATGATTCTCCACTGCTCAAAACCACACCAACCTCACTCTTTTTCTGGCGGCAGTGCCAGCCGAAGGCTTCCTCTTACAAGACACAAGACACATCTCTACCCGTAGCTAAATCTA